ACAGAAAATCTACTTGGGGGCTGAGGAGTGGCCCAAGGGCTCTTACCCAGCACACTTAAGACCTTACATCCATCCACATTTGATAGCAGCCAAAAAAAAGTAACTCGACTACACAGAGATGTGACATTCCTGTGTAACCTTCAGTGTTTTGGGAAACATGACCCTCACTCTGTAATAAATAAAAGAGACTGGCGAAAGGGAGCAGTTATTTTAATATACTATTCTATAAAAAGGGACTCTATCGTGGAGAAAAGGGGCCAAATGGCATAGCTGGTGTGTTAGTCATTGTCCTATTGCTATGAAAAGACACCATGACCAAGGCAGCTATCATAAAAGAAACCATTTAATTGAGATGAGACTGACATACAGGTTTGGAGGCTTGCTCCATTATCATCATGATGGGAATCAGATGGGCATGACACCTGGCACAGTAGCTGAGCGCTACATCCTAATCCATCCACAAGGAGAGGGAGGCAGGGAGAAGCTGGGCCTGGTGTGGGCTTTTGAAACCTCAAAGCCTAGCCCCAGTGACACACTTCCTCCAACAAGGACACTCCTCCTAATCCTCCAAATTCTCCCAAGCAGTTCCACTCCCTAGTGACAAAGCATTTTCAAATACAAGCCAATGGGGTCACTCTCACGCAGACCACCAAGGCTGTCGTGCTGACTCGGCATGAGACAGCAGTTTGTTTTAGTTTTATTTCTGAGTTTTGCTTGTTTTTAATATGTGTGTGTATGTAAAAGAGAGAGGGGTGGGAAGAAAGAGAGAGAGACAGAGGAGAGAAAAAAAGAGCGAGGGAGAGAGAGAGAGAGAGAGAGAGAGAGAGACCAATACCAAAGAAGACCAGACGAGTTTCGGATCCCCTGGAACTGGAGCTATATTACAGATGGTTGTGAGACCCCCAACATGAATCCTGAGAATCAAACTCAGGTCCTCTACAAAGGCAACAAGTGGTCTTAATCAGTGACCCATCTCTCAAGCCTGAGAGAATGGTTTTTAAAGTCCCTCATCCCTCTTCACCCATAGACGGGCACTCCTGTCACGTGCTTCTGGCACAGCCCACTTCTTCCCAAATTCCCCGTCGTATTGTTCAGGACACAAAATCTTATCTAATGACTATCCTAGGGGTCGAGACTGCCCCCTTTTCTGATTGTGGACTCAGTCACATGGCCGACAGCCTGCAACTTCCCTGCTCTCTGAGACAAGCACCAGCCCCCAGCTGGAAGGGGGAGGGACCAAGAGCTTCCTTTGATCTGTACCTCTCAGGCACTCTAAGCATACTGAAAATGGGCCATATGGATTTATTTCTCACAATATGATGCAGATTTAATAACCCTCGGTTACTCTACACACTAAGCAGCTCAATGTCTGGTTACAAGGACTCCTCCCTGAGGGAGAAGTAAAGATCTACCCGCTCCCCACAAGGTACCAGTGGTACCTAAGTTTAGCCTGGGGAACCTATGTGTTTGTTGACTTACTTACAGAAGTGTGGGTGGCCCCTATGCATCTGCCTCGGAAAGTCTTTATTTACCCAGTGTGGATGGGGGCTTCCCATAGCTTCATAAATGGAGCTCCTCTCGGTTAACTATCTCACCCAACCACTCTAGTGCCTCTAAGACCTGAGGCCTCCTCATACAGTTAGGACAGAATTGGATACAAATTCTTGGAAGGGCCAACTGAATCCTCAAATGTGGATCCAATGACAGCCTTGCCCCCCTTCCTTCTGTGAGGGAATGTCAATAGTCAACAAGCCCAATCGTGTTGGACCCTTGCCAGTAGGAACAGCTGATCTGATGAAGATGGCAGCTGTTTTGTTCAGAGGACCTTATTCTACAACAGGTCTAGGAAGAAATTTTTCCTAAAATACAAAAAGAATCTGAAATTTACATGAAGGCATAAAAAAATTTGAGAAGTTTCAAAAATAAAAGCAGTGCATAGAGCTCCAGCCTTCCACCATAATGTAGAGAGAGGAAGCTGAGAATCACGTGGCATTAGCTCAGGACAAAAGGCCAACAGAACTGGATGAGATACCAAGCCATGAGCCCAACACAGGGATGATGGGAGACCAAACCATGAGCACACAGGGATGATGGAATACCAAGCCATGAGCACACAGGGGATGATGGAAGACCCAGCCATGAGCACACAGGGGTGATGGGAGACCAGGCCATGAGCACACAGGGGTGATGGGAGACCCAGCCATGAGCACACAGGGGATGATGGGAGACCAAGTCATGAGCACACAGGGGATAATGGGAGACCAAGTCATGAGCACACAGGGGATGATGGGAGACCAAGTCATGAGCACACAGGGGTGATGGGAGACCAGGCCATGAGCACACAAGGATGGTTCACCATGGGACTGGAGCAGCCAACAGAGGCAAAATGTGTTCAGCAGACAGAGCCGGGGGAACAAATGCACATGGGGAGAGAAAACTGGTGATCTTAAAGGACATATTATCTTAAAATTACTTTCTTAAAAGAATCCACAAATGTCTATAACATGAATACTAAACTTTGGGAAAAGGTGGTGACTCCAGGATATAAAACTCAGGATAAGAGGGGCACTATCAGAATGTTTGACCCTTGCACACCAAAGGAGGGCATTGCTGACGAAATTGAACTAGGAACTTTCATATGACCTTACTGTTAAGTTTAGTTTCTTACTGAATTTGTTCATCAGAATTTTGGTAACGAGGAACCAAGTACTGGGTGATCTAGACCAGGGCTTCTTAAAATTTTCTGCTTATGACCATTTTTACTTGAGATTTTTTTTTATGAATTTGTAGACAAGATTTTACCTTGTAGCTCTGGCTGACCTAGAACTTGCTATGTAGACCAACTTGGTCTTTAACTCACCGAGATCCACCTGACCTCTGCCTCCTGATCAAAAGCATGTGCCACTATACTTGACTACCAGAGATATTTTTTCCACTAATTCAGGTATACATAGAAAGATAGGTATATGGATAGATAGATAAATACAAATGTATATATATATATATATATATATATATATATATATATATAGTTCCCAAACCAAACATTTGTTGATAACAAATCATAAAGAAAATATGTTAAAGTAATTATTTGGCTCATATAATACCTTTACTATTTTTTAAATTTACTAGTAAATATTAGAGCAAATTTACATACTAATGAGATAGATGCTTGCTAATTTTCACATAAAGTTTAAATCTGGTCTGAATATTTGCTACTGCAAAACAGAGAATCTTCAGCGTTTTTAAGAGTCAGGATTTTAATTTATAAAGGGCTCTGAGAATGCCACTGTATAGTATACAAAAGCAAAAATGTGTTTGGGACCATTTCAGAAGTTAGTGGAAATACATTTAACAACCCAAAATTTATTTAACCCAATTTTTAAAAGAAATTCAAGTTATAAGTCACAGAGCAATTTTAAGGTACATTTCTCAAAAGATATAGCATTTGAATACTTCATGTTAAAAATGTGAAAAAATACAGAAAGTATTTGTTTTCTGAAATTAAAACTATTATGTTTCTTTAAGAGCAGAAAACTGTATGTACTCCAGCCCCACCCACCCCCACCGCGGTTTATAACATACGATGGCTTAGAATCTGAGCTGAGGCATTTCAGGCAGAGTTTACTGGTGTGGTATGGTGGAAGGGCACGCACTGTGCAAAAGTGCGTGTGTGTTCAGTACCAAGGCTGTGGTGGAGTCACATGACAGCGTGGTAAGTGCCCCTTATATCAATCGTGCCCCTTATATCAATCGTGACTTGCTTAAATTTGATTTTCTGGCCCTTGCACCTTCAGAAGTCTTTCACTGTTTCCATTTTTGCAGACTTGGGCATTTAGTTATGAGACCTGACTTGTAAGGACCTGGGGTGTAGGCAACAGGAATTTGCTTTCTGTCCTAGAGGCTGAAGTTTGGGACCAGGTCTGCAAGTCTGGGTTTATCACACCACCCATCCTGGAAGCAGTGGCTCCCTGGTGTCTCAGGACCTAGCTAACCCTGTCTCCCTTGCACTTACTAAGCATTCTTGAGTACGCACAACAGTGCTGCAGGCAGTGTTCACCCCCACCCACCCATCCACCCCACCCCCGTGGCTGACCACAGGCTCCTGAGGGCCCTGCTATCATTTCCTGTCATTCTGGCTTAGCACCCTTACAGAGGAGCTCAGTAAACAGAAAATAAGTCAGGCATAGTGTGGTACTCCTGCTGTAGGAGGCTGAGGCAGGAGGAGGACAAGTTTAGGACCAGATTTGGCAAGTGATGAGAATTTGTTTCAAAAAAAAAAAACCAAACAGGGATTGGAGAGGTGGCTCCTACTTGCTGCTCTTCCAAAGAAACTGAGCTCAGTTCCCAGCACCCATATCAGGTAGCTCACAACTGTCTGGAACTCTAGCTCCTGGGGTACCCAATACCTCTTACCTCTGCTGGCACCTTCACCCACATGCATGTTACCCCCTCCACATATTTAATCAAAAACAAAGTAAAATAGTTTAAACCTCCACCCTCATAAAGCAAAATGCAGCATGGATTTAAAGTGTCTCCCTTGATAAAGTAGTTGCCACACAGATATGAGGCTTTGAGTTTGATCCCTAAAACTCACGTGAAACAGCTGCGCATGGCGGTGCACACTTACAAACCCAGCATGAGGAAGGAGGGGCAGGAGGATTCCTGGGAGTCACTGGCCAGCCAACCTAACCCACTTAGCAAGTCCCAGGGTGAACTCAGAGACTCCGTCTCAAAACACAAAGTGGGTGGACCCTGAATAATGACAGCAAAGGTTGCTCTCTGGCCCTCACATGTGTGCGTGCATACCTGCACATACACAAACATGCATGCACATACATGCACACACAAATTAGCTTAATCCCCCTCTCTGTAACTGCATGTATTGGGCATGCTACCAATTCATCTGGATCCCACCTCATGCTGTGCAGACTGAGACCGTGGGAGGAGGAGCCCGTCTCAATCATCTCAGCCACACACTACACACTTGACAACCGAGCTGATGGACTTTTATTGTTTTTTCTTCTTCTGTAGATTAATGTTAAAGCATTTAATGCTTTATGTGAAAAGAGTTTTATTTGTAAAGTCTTCCTCCATTGAAATAACATATGCTCCATGTCTTGATAACTTCACGTTGCCTACACTGCAGAGCTCACGGCATGATGTGTACAGACATAAAATATCACCTTTTATTCATTCAGTTTCAATCAAATTAGCTGATTCAAAATCGCAAGAAAAAATTAGTTGATTTGGAAAGAGTGTACATTATCAGGCTTCTGAAGTGTGAGTCTTTAAAAAGACATCCTGTGTCTTTAAGGAACTACTGGGGTTTGTTCTTTTTAGCCCATAGACGCTGGCGCATCACAAACTGTCTATGGGATGCTGAGCAATCTTCATGGACCGCACTTGCCGAAGGGTATGGAAGGTGGGGTCCCAGCTGTACTCTGGGGAGAGAAGCTTGGTGGGCTTGTTGAGGAAGAAATATTTGTTGAGGTATTTCTCATAGGTGCTGTTGAGTCCGTTTTCGGCATCCAAAACAATTCCTTTCATGTATTCCTGAGTCAAGTCCAGAACCTTGAGGGGCACTCCGCCTACAATGGTGCCGGCGTAGTAGAAGTCCCCCAGCCCGAAGGGAATGTAGGCTGCGGACGCAGGTCTCCTCTCATAAGGAAGATCCCCTGTCTTCCGGAAATACCACCAAGCATGGAGCTGGGCTACAGACACGCTCAGGGTCTCCACTCCAAACTCACTCTGGAAGACCAGGTTAGCGCTCATGCTGAAGAGGAAGTCCACCTCGTATCTGATGTGGTCTTGGATGTGTTCACCCAGGAGTTTCATGCGCATGAGGTCAAAGTCGTTCCACCATCTCTCCTCACCTATGAGGTGAATTTGAAAGGACTGCCGAGGGCTGTAGTCCATTTCAGGGAGCTGCAGGAACCTATCCACCATGACGTAGAAGATCACCTTATAGCCAGGCATGAAGAACTTACTGGCTGATCGCAAGAATGGGTCCAGGTACTGGTCAGTGAGTCTGGGAACACACGGAAGAAGAAATTATGTTTCTAAACGGATTGGGTGCCCTTGAATGTGCACCCACTAACAAGAATGTACACACCACTAACAAGAGACACGTCCTTGATACTGAAAACTCCAATAGGTCAGGGTAGAGATGTTGGGTCAAGATCCACCAAGCCCATAGTTCTGACAATGGCCATGGAATTTTAGAACTACTGAGTCCGAGCTAAGTGGGGCATTGCTTAAGAACTCTCGAGTGGCCTTATGGACCTAGCCTTGGTACAGGGACTCGTCATAGCACATTCTGCTTGGTAAGCTCAGCAGTAGTGATCTCAAAAGAGGACTTAGAGCTCCTTGGGGGCAAAACATCTATGGATACTGAACCACATTCCCCAAGATAAAGGGGCAGTGCTCCATAGCATCTACCTGCCAACTGCAAACACAACCAAGCCCACGGTGATGTTCTGCTTTCTGTAATATTTCTCAAGGGCCTCTCTGTCGAAGGTGCCTTCCCATATGACTGGAGCCAGCCAGTCCGTGGTGGTGATGACGTCCACACGCATCCTATGGGACACACACAAAAGCAGAAATAAAATTTGACAGTGTGGTTCAACAGTCAAAAACTGACACAAGTCACCATGTCAAAGCCAAAGAAGAGGCGCATGTTGGGTGTCACGGCGACAGTGATGGACACCCAATGCCGGATGTTAGCTAACCCTGAGATGGCACCGACGAGGTGCCAATCAGATGTGGTAAACTCTGGTTCGCTCACGTGACCCTGGCAATGCCTTTCCTCGGGTGAGTGCGAGTTTTCTTCTTGTTCTTCATGTGGGCACACAGCCAGCAAGTGGCTGAGCTGGCAGAACCACAGCGCCCCCAGACAGTCTGGCTTCAGACTTGGCATTCTCCTCTGAAGCCTGGGATTATTTATCTTGAGAGCTAGTTCCAACTTAACCAATTAAAACATAGTAGACAACCCAGAGCCCTGCCATAGTCTTGGTTTTGCCTGAAGGCAGTACTGTAGGCAGGATCCCTGCTTCAGCGCCTGACTTCCTTGTTCTTTTTCTTGTTCTGTGTACCCTGTGGTATTCTAAACACATGGTTCAAGCCATCTGTGTCATCCAACAAGAGTGAGATAGATTGGACTTGCCTTCTGTACGGAGGAAATAGAAGGATTAGAACATGCCAAGAAGGTGAGGCATTTCAAAATTAATGTAAGTCACCATATCAGAAGCTAAAGAAAAGTCACATGTCCAGATCCCTCAACACTGGAAAAACATTACGGAGTCTAACACTTATTCATGATCTTAAAAAGAAACTTCCACAAAAGGATGGGAATGGGGAGAACTGCCCAATATGAAATTTTAAAAAATCTACTTGTCCCATGAATGTGGTGGTGTACATTTTTAATTTTGGGAGGCAGGGAAAAGTGGATCTCTGTGAGTTTGAGGGCAGTTTTGTCTACAGTATGGCATGCTTTCAGGCTAGTCAAGACTACAAAGTGAGACCCTGCCTAAAAAAAAAATCTAAAAATGTCCTACAGCTAACATTAAATAGTGAAAGACTGGCTTCTTCCTCCCTAAGATCAAGAACATGACAAGGATGTCCCTCACACTGCTCTCCAACACAATGGCAGAAACCATGGCCATTGATTAGGGCTGAAGAGATGGCTCAGTGGTTAAGAGCATTGCCTGCTCTTCCAAAGGTCCTGAGTTCAATTCCCAGCAACCACATGGTGGCTTACAACCATCTGTAATGAGATCTGGTGTCCTCTTCTGGCCTGCAGGCAGACATGGAGACAGAACATTGTATACATAATAAATAAATGAATAAATATTAAAAAAGAAAAGGAAATTAAGGCATAAATTGAAAATGAGAAAAACGATACCGACCATAATACATCCGCAATACTTAATCACCTTCCTGCAAAATTCTAAGAAGAAAAATCACCTAGAATTCATAAGTAAATTAGAGGGAATAGATTTTACCAGGTTGGTTCCAAACATTAAGTCCGTGTCTACACACTAATGACACAGAAACACAAAACATGCTTGCTGAGATCCAAGGTCAGTTCCCAGCATCCACATCAGGCTGCTCACAACCTCCTGCAACTCCAGCTCCAGGGTATCCAGCTCCCTCTTTGGCCTCTACAACATCTGCATTCATAGGAACGTACACCTTCCCAGGGTATGTGTGTATGTGTGTGTGTACATATAATTTTAGATATATAGATATATATATTTAAAATGCAGTGCTGTTAATAATGCCTCAATTAAAATGAAACATTGTGGCATGTCACTGTGCAAATAGCAGCCACCTGCCTCAGTGCCACCTCTGGCAGTGACTAACATCTGTCCCTGTATACTGCCTATTGTGAAAATACTGAAAGCTATTCCACCCTATCACGAGACTGCATCTTGTTTGCTCATCGTCAGGGAGGGACAATGAGTTCATTTACCTGCTAGATACACTAGGGATGATGCTCCCATGGGAACTCATAGATGAATTTTCTGTGAGCATGTTTTAATTCTTTTGGGGATGGGTCTCTAGACCCAGTTCCGCCTCAAGGTGGAATCACTGTCCTGTTGCAATTCTCTAACTAGCTAACAAGTGGTTTCGCAATGCCACAATTAAACCTGGCAGTTCAAATTCCTCTAGATCCAAATGCCTTTCATTGTCCAGCTTTCCTTGTCTACCCATCCTCCTCATGTTGTTGGAAGTGAATTGGTAACTCGATGTGGGCTTGATTTGCATTTCCCAATGACTAATGCTGCTAAAGTAGATTCTGTGTCTTTATTGGGTATAAATATATCTTCCTTAGCCAGGCGGTGGTGGTGCATGCCTTTAATCCCAGCACTCGGGAGGCAGAGGCAGGTGGATCTCTGTGAGTTCGAGGACAACCTGGTCTACAAGAGCTAGTTCCAGGACAGGCTCCAAAGCTACAGAGAAACCGTGTCTCAAAAAAACAAAACAAAAAAATTATGATAAAAAATAAACAGTATCTAAAAGGTGTTCACATCACAACTATGGAGGCACAGGTTGAATTGAGAGAGTTTAGCAAGCTGTTTCACCAAGAACAAAAGAGTCAATAAGACGTTGTGCACTGTAAATAAGAAAACAAAGTTGTACAGTTATTAAAGGGAACCAGCGATTTTACACCACATTTTAAATGCCGTGGCGTCCAATCCAAAGACTCTGCTTTAGAAATTTGTCCTGTGGATAAATACGTTATCGGTGCACAAATTCCATTCAGGGTCCTTCACCTTGCTTATGAATGGTCAGCCGAGAAGCAGTTCCCATGGGGAGCTGGCAACAAACTTCTGTAACACAGAGTATGTGATACACACACATGTAATCTCAGAGAACTGTTGATAACATGCTTGCCAACCACCGATCATGACCTGAGTTCAATTCCCGACATCCACATTAAAAAGGGAAAAAAATCAATAGATGTGAGACCAGCAGGAGGCCTGTAAAACCTGATGACCTGAGTTTGATCCCCAGGAGCTACATGGTGGAAGAAGAGATATGGCTACTGCAAACTGTCCCCCGACCTCTGCATGCACACCACAGCACATATGCACATGTGCACAAACACACACACACACAGATAAACAACAGCGATAGGTAAGGTGTCACTGGCCTATAAATCCTAGCCCCTGGGAGGCAAGCAACAGGTGGATCCCTCAAGTTTACTGGCCAGCCCATATAGCCAATCAGTGAACTCAAGGCTCAATGAGCAACCCATCTCACAAACCAAGGTGGAGGGCAGTCAAGGAAGACACCTGAATTCTGGCCTCTACAAACACAAAGGAGAAAGGAACAGAGAGACACACACAGGTGGAGAAGCAGCCAGTTCACCATGGGAGCTGCCCACGCCAATCCTGGGCCGGAGTTCATGTCTAACCTTCCCGCTTCTACAAGGGCAGAGGGTGCTAGGAAGGTCAGTAATTGCCTTTTTCTGTTATATCCAGATGAACCTGAGGGAAATCTGGGCAAGCCTCAGACCTGCCTGCTTCTCACCATCAACTCTTGTTTGCTGAGGTTAAGCCACTAGGGATGGAGTTGTAGATATGTTGTCAAGGTGATACAGTAGCTCATGCGAGTTCAGACACCAGCCGCCTCATGGCCTTACCACCCCTCCCCCACCGTTAGCACCCAGGAACCCCGGGCAAAAAAGGAAGATTTCAGACTGGCTTTCTATCTCCTCACACCAGTATCTAGTGAACACACCCTTGCTCTTCGAAACAGTCCTCTCAGGCACGGCTGTGCCCGAGGAGCAGGAGCAAGAAGCAGCCTCATACCTTCTTCCCTGAAGAAACAGGAAGGTTAACCGTGAACGCAGGCCAAGGCACCAGCTTCCTCCATGGCATTGGGACTTCCTGTGTTGTGGGAGCTCCCCTGGCCTTGTGTCAGAATGATGGAAACAAACTCCTAATTCCAGGTGCCCTGGCAGAGCTATGATTGGTGCTGAAACTGTTGTCTCTGAGCGATGCGTGTCTTTGCTCTTACCTGGGGTTAAACCAGTCTGAGAGCCGAAGTTCATCTTCCTGGAGGTTCCTGGCACAAAGAGCAGCAGGTTACTGCAGCATCTGTTTGCCCAGCCCTCATCAGCCGAACCCACACCAGGCTGTGCTGCTCACTCTCCTCCATCCTCACTGCCTAACCTCAGCTTTCAGGGGCTTCGGGATAGGGACAGGGCAGTGGTAAAGCTCTAGGGACACAGTTTGGGGCCAAGGAAGCAGCTGGGAGACGAGGTATCTCCTGGTCTGGAAGGGGGCAAGCTGGCCTAGGGAACAGATTGCGAGAATTGGGGGAGAGGTCACGAACAGCAGCAGAATGAAGAAAAGGGTACCTTGCTGGGAGGAGGAAAACGTTACTAGAGATTGTAAACTCAAAAGTTATTTCCATGATGTAAAGAGGTCAGGAGGAGTCAATGTATTCACGTTTGATTCTGTGAGACAGGGTCTTACCGTGCAGCCCTGGCTGGCCTAGAACTCACGCTGCAGACCAGGCTGGCCTTGAGCTCACAGAGACCCACCTGCCTCTGCCTCCATAGTGCTGGGATTAAAGGCGTGTCTACTACCCCCAGCTACCTTGATGCTTTGAAGTGCAGGTGTTTTAGCTTTCTATGAGTGACTCCCAGACAAGCACGCTGCAGTGGAGACACCGGCTGTTTAAAAAGCAGTGTAACCTTATGCCAGTGGCTTAACCCAGCCCACCTTCAATGACCTCAAGACGGCCAGATGCCTACAACTGAGCAAAGTCACCCACACTCAGCCTGCCACGTTAGAAAGTAAGAAAGGATTCAGGGGGTTCCTGCATATGGACCAACAGTGGGGAAAAGGTGAAGAGTCGGGGGCAAAACTCCGACTTTTTAGTTGGGGTTTTACTAGTCTGGAAAGACACCATGACCACCGCAACTCTTATGAAGGAGAATGTTTAACTGGGACTGGCTTACAGTTCAGAGGTTTAGTCCATTATTGTCAGGTCGGGAGTATGGCGGCATCCAGGCAGACATGGCACCGGAGAGGTAGCTGAGAGTTCTATATTGGGATCCACAGGCAGCAGGAAGTGACTGAGCCAGTGGCCTGGCTTGAGCATCTGAGACCTCAAAGCTGCCCACTAGTGGTGCACCTCCTCCAAAAAAGCCACAGCTTCAATAATGCCACTCCCTATGGGCCTGTGGGGCTATTTGCACGCAAACCACTGCACTCTTATTAGTTTAATCACCTGCCTGGCGGCTTCCAGTGTACCACCCGTGGTGTTCTATGTCAGAGCTGACCCGAGCTCTGATGTGTTCTGACATGGCCTTGCACAGATAGCCCATCACCAAATCGAGAGCCTCCCAAGACAGACTGTCAAAATTTCATGGCACAAGTGGGGAATTTACCAAAAACCATCAAGTTGGTGTTGCTGGAGCAATGGCTCAGTGGTTAAGAGTGCTTGGTCTTCTAGACCTGAGCTTAGTTCTCAGAACCCGTGTCAGGTGGCTCACAATTGTCTGTGACTCCTGGGCATCCATGGCCAGAGCTACAGGCACCTGCACACATCCACATGCAATCTCACACACATGCAATCACACACACATGCAATCACACCCACATGCACTTAGCTAAAGATAATTTTTTAAAAATTAAGAAAAACCGTGTTACAGTGTGTTAATCCTGTTGATTTCTAGACTTAGGGTTAAAGAGTGGCCCGACGTAAATAAAGAACCTGATCCCCACAGAGACACTCCAGTTGTGAATGTCAGACCCTGGTCTTGGGGAGACTCACTTGTGCTAAGCTAATAAGCCAGCGATGACCCTGAGCTTCTGGTCTGTCAGTTTCTTCTCAGCAGGAGTGCTCCAACCAAAGCTATACACAGCCAGTTTCTTTAGATCCAGCCAGGATCGCATTTCCAGTTTATTCCAGCCAGGATCGCATTTCCAGTTTATTACACTCCAACAAAACCGCACCCGACACCTATTGACCCTGTAGGTGGGCTCTCTGAACAGGAGAGTTCAGGGGCTGGGAACCACATGGGCTAGACTAAAACCACCCTCAAATGGATAACCCTCTCCTCCTTGATCCCCAAGTTCCCTCTGGGTGGTATTGTCCCTGTTTGAAAAAGACAACCTGCTGGGAGGTTTTTCCTCACACAGTCCTATCCCAAGAGTCCCCCAGTAAATACTGCCACCTCATGCGCTGTCTCTTCAGAAACCTTGTAACACACACACACACACACACACACACACACACACACACACAGTGGTATACCCATACACACACACACAGATTCACATACACACTACATATCTCCTACTGACTCACATCGGGAGACTGGTTTCTTTTTCTGTATCCAGGCTCTGTCACCATCAGACCCTCTGTGACTGACAGTTTTGCCCTCGGGTTCACACAGTGAAGAGTGGCACCCTGAGAGGGCTCCTTTTCTGAGGAGAGGGTTTGCCAGAGAAAATACAGGACACCACAGAATGTGAGCTTGAGAAACACAGTGGATGAAGGCTGGAGAGGTGGCTGCTCTCCTAAGGATCCAGGCTCCATTCCCAGCACCCATTCCGGTTCCAGGAGACCTGAGGCCCTCTTCTCGCCTCTTCTGGGTCTGGGCACACACGCAATATACAAATGTGCACATGGGCAAAACACATAAAATAAAACTAAATAAAAGATAAGCAGTGATATGTTAAATGTCTCCATTTCTGTTATTTTATGGGATGGATGTCTGTGAACATGATCTGCAGATCAGGTGTGACTGTCCAGCTTCTGTTTCTGTCCCTAAATACATCAGCTCTGCCAATACACACATAGTACATATACAAATACAGCAACCTGATTCAAAATAAAAGAGGCAAAGAAATCAAATGCCCATTTTATCCTAAAAGATGTACAGACAGAGACCAAACATACTTGGGGGCAGGGAGCAGATTTAATTTTTTAAAGTATTCTTTCATGATAGGACTGTCTTCCTTCCTTCCTTTCTTTTTTCTTTTTTTTTCCTTTTCTTTCTTTCTTTCTTTTTTTTTTTTTTTTTTTGAGACAGGCTCTTGTCAGGTGGTGGTGGCACTCACCTTTAGTCTCAGCATTCAGGAAGCAGAAGCAAGCAGATCTTTATGAGGGCAGCCTGGTCTACAGAGCTACTTCTAGGACAGTCAAGGCTACATGAAGACACCCTGTCTCAACACGGGGTGAAAGAGTTGAGAGTAAGAGGGAGAGGGGGAGGGAGAGAGAGAGAGTCATTATGCATCCCTGACTAGCCTGGAACTTTGCCTCCAGAGTTCTGGGACTAAAGATGTGCTCCTCTATGCTTAGCTATGACTGCTTTTCCTGTGGCGCTCAGAAACTTAAAGATCCAGGAAGAGGCATAGAGGAGAGAGGAGTTAAAGTTGCTGGGGAGAGATGTAGGCAGGTTAACAGATGTTACTCTAGCAGGTCGATTTTCGCCTTGTTTATATAAGACACAAATTTACCATCTTTAATTGCAACACCTGGAAAGTAGAGGCAGGAGGATCTCCGTGAGTTTGAGGCTAGCCTGGTCTACAAAATGAGTTCCAGGACAATCAGAGATGTTACACAGAGAAACACTGTCTCAAAAACAAACAAGCAAAATAAAACAAAAACCAAGCTCCCCCAAAGACACAAATTTGGAACTTAGAGGTGGTTTGTATTGATGTAATTATAGCTCAGGTCTGGCCCAGCGGCTGAGCACTTGCCTGAAAATGCTCCAGGTCCTGGTTCTATCCCCAGTACCACAAAACCAGTAATAACTGAGCACTCCCCTCCACCCAACTCCATTTTCATGACATTGCCACGTAACACATGAAATTCCACAGTGTATGAAATAACCCCTGTGGGCAGGTCTGCTGCTTGCCAGCATCCGGAATGGAGCCTGGGACAAGAAACTCAACAAATGTCCATCTGGCGTCTGAAAATGAAAGAATTAAAATGTGCACGGTGTCCCCCAGAGAGGAAGTAGCTTCTGGGTCACTCGTGTGTTGATGGCATCTTTAAGGGATGAGAGTAACCCCCTTGGCCTTCCTGCAGGCTGTGGTTCATCAGTATTTACCTGAATAAGACCTTAGCCATCAGCAGCAGGAAGAGGCAGAAAAGCAACATTAGCAGCCTCTTCTTGGCTTTCATTCCTTCCTGGGGGAGGGAGGAAAAGGAGCGGGTTAAACAGACCCACTGCATCCCAGCACCCCCAACGGTGGGTTAGTGTCTGCACACATTTGGACACTAACTCAACAGCTCCTCCTAGAATAGCCAGTGAAGGGGATTGTGGTCATCTCTATTCTGCCTGACGGGCCTTTGGAGTGATCCTAAAGATCTGGAATGTGCTGATTTGCCTTGTGTTCCCTGGAGAAGCCAGTCGATCTGTGCATGTGTGTGTGTACATGTATGTGAGTGTACATGTATGTGTTGTGCACATGTATGTGTGTGCGTGCGTGTGTGCATGTGTGCACATGTGTGCACGCACATGTATGGATGGATTACATGCGTGTGTGCGCACACATATGTGTGTGTGCATGTGTGTGTTGTTGCTGTGCACAGAGACTATGTTGAGTATCTTTAATTGCTCTCCACCTTACTTTTTGAGGCAGGATTTCTCTGAATCTGAGCTTCTCATTTCACCTACGCCAGCTAGCCAGAAAGCTCTGGAATCCACCTGTTTCAGGCCCCTGAGTGCTGGGACTTTGGCCATGTGCCACAGCCTGCTTTTACACGAGTACCAGGAATCGAACTCAGGTTCTCCTGTTTGTGCAGCAACCACTTCTCTCCAGCCTACAAGTCCATTTTGTTCCCGTGAAATGACTGTCATGAATCCCTATCATGTGTTTGTGACAACGAGGTGGGATCGTGACAATGAGGTCATCCGAAACCAACAAATTTGGCCCTCAAAGTTGGCTTTGTCATTTCTTCCCTAGCAGGCATGGTGAGACAGACGACCTGGGGCCATTTACACAGAGACCGTAAAGAAGGTCAGTGGCCACATTATGGGCAGGATCTGAATCTGAGCTCCGGTTGGCATGGCACCTAGGTTGGAGGTTTCCCTTGGGTCTGTTTGAACACTGTGTTCAGCACGCTGTACGGCAGTGTGCCAGCATGCAGTAGACTCAGTCAGTAAGCTCCTGAGGCAGGGGTTGGGGGAGGGTGGGTCTGGCCCTGCGTTAACTGGGCTCTGAGTGCACAGAACACAGCAGCTTTGTGAGGCAAGCACAGCATGAGAACACAGAAGGCTAAGGGTCTCCTTTGTCATCTTCCATTGCTTGTTCACTGAAGTGATGACTGTCTGGGTTTGTAGTCCAGATGTAGAAACTCATGAAACAAACGTATAAAATAAGTTCACCTATCTCTCTTGCCCTTTGTCTCATGGCTGCTGGGAAACGGGACATCACAGGTGGCTCACATCCTGACTCTACTGCATTTCTGAGCATTACCCTGCTCAGAAATACCCTTGTGGTTTGAAAATTGACATCTTTAAGTTCACTACTATTGGGACTACATGGACAAGTGAGCTGTGGTCCATCTAGCTAGCTGCTCTGTCCCCAGCTGCTTCCTAGCGATCTCTTGAGACATTGGCAACAAGCTCAGAGGCCAGGGTCAGAGGAGGCTGCCTACACACAATGTTTTGTGTTGTTTACTGGAACAGGATCTCATTCTGTTGCCCAGACTGGCCTTGAACTCACAACAATCTTCCTGTCTCATCCTTTCAAATGCTGGGATGTGCACCATCAAGTCCGGCTCCCAGGCACGACTATCCAAAGTCCCAACACTTCAAAGGCCCCTTACCTTGAATCAGGGTGGTGTTAGAAGACAGCCAAAACGTCCTCTGAGGACCAGTGTTTCCCACGGAGTATATTTCTAGGACTTGGCCGTGTGGAGTACCTGGTTGCATCCACTGCTTTTGTGGTGTGTGGATCTTCTGTTAATGGTGATGTCATCAGCATCACAATGGCACCTGGCTGGTTCTCTTCATGACCAGACAACATGACTTGGTCCCGGTGAAAATATGAAAGGATTTCTTGGAATATTCTGCAGCTTTTGCTTCTTCTGTTGTGGCATTTCTTCTAAGGACAGATACCTCCTGGTAGAGAGGTTCAGGGTGGCATGTGTGCTGTGTGTCTTGAATGACAGAGAGGTGCCCTCCCTGTCCTGCTGGAGACATTATCAATGAATCTAAAGAGTGAAGCCCTTCTTATACTTCCTCAGACTCTTGTTTGTGTATTCCTTGCCTGCTGAGAGAAGCACAGGGTTTCATTTTAGACACCCTACGAACCCACTATCACTAGACAGCTGTGTGATTATAACATAACCCTGTATTTGTTTGTTCGTTCTACCCTTGAAGAATAAGGAAACCCAGTGCAGTAGTTTGGATGTAATTGGCCTCCACAAGCTCACAGGGAGTGGCGCTATTCGGAGGTGTGGCTTTGTTAGAGTAGGTATGGCCTTGCTGGAGAAAGTGTGTCACCGAGGGGGGTGGGCTTTAAAGTTTCCTACATTCCAGATACTGCCCAGTGTCAGACTAGTTCCTGTAGCCTTCTGATCAAGATGGAGCCAGTACCATGTCTGCCTGCATGCTGCCATGCTCCCCACCATGATGATAATGGACTGAACCTCTGAAATTGTAAGCAAGCCATCCCAATTAAATGCTTTCCTTATAAGAGTTGCCATGGTCATGGTGTCTCTTCACAGCAATGGAAATCCTAACTAAGACACCCAAAGTGTGACTTAAGGAATTTAAACACATCCTTAGGCTCCAGTCAGCATCCAAAAGAAAAAGATGAGAAGAAAAGCTGGATGGTGGTAGTGCCTGCCTTTAGTTCCAGCACTTAGGTGGCAGAGGTAAGCAGATCTCTGTGAGTTCAAAGCCAGCCTCATCTACAGAGCTAGTTCTAGGACAGCCAGGGCTACACAGAGAACCCATGTCTGGGAGAAAAAAATAGTTACACCCTCCTGAGTCAGCACTCAGAATGGTAGAGAGTTCCTAGCAGGAAAGAATTCTGGGAAGGAAAGGTACTATATTCTAAGGTGGCCCGCATTCCTAGGGGTGGACCCCTGAGCCAGGTCCCTGACCTGCCCACTAAATCAAACCTGGATGAAGGAAGCCAGAGTGTGTCTCCACCTAGAGGTGGATTCCTTTCTTCACAATTGAGTCTGTTGTGTCTGAAACCAGCAAACAGGTGAACTCTGGAGCCCACCTCCATCCTCAGGAAGGTGGGCACATCCATGCCAGTCTGTCTGATCCTCTCTTCCCTCCACCTGGACGGCTGAGACACACACCTTCCTACACAGGCGGCTCTCCCCAGGTCCCCAGCCACCGCAATGCCTAAGCTCCATTGGCCCAGGTCCAGCTGCTTCCCACAGCCAGCAGCGCTGATGTCTTACTGTCAGGAGTCCCTGTCAATTTCGACTTACTGTTACCTGCTGCTGAAGGACTGTGTTCACCAAACTCAGTCTGGAATTTTGTCCACGAGGCAGTATATTCTAAGGGTAGAAACAGCTGTGGTAGCCATAGGGGCCTTAGGAGGTGGGGTGATCAGATTACCTTATTCATTAGCATGCAGCTCCATGGCTCAACCCTGGGGGCCTTTTAGCTGTTTCTCAGCTATGACTCTGTGTTGCCCAGGCTGGCGTCAAACTTGCGATGTAACAGAGAATGACTTTGAACTTCTGATTCTCCAGTGCCTCCCAGGTGCTGGGATTACAGGATTTTTCGCAACCCTACCTCCCCCCACACACCGTGTAGATGGGATAGGACCCAGGCAAGCGCTCTACCAACTGAGCTATGCCCCAGACTCCCAGTGACTTTGTTTTCCTTCAAGTTTGTCATCTTAAGCTGCCTCAGCTGAACGCAAACTCCTAAATGTAAGAGATTCTCCCACTTTGTTGTTTTTTAGGTTTTGGGGTTTTTTTTTTTTTTCGAGACAAGGTTTCTCGGTAGCTTTGGAGCCTGTCCTGGCACTAGATCTTGCAGATCAGGCTGGCCTCAAACTTATAGAGATCCACCTGTCTCTGCCTCCCAAGTGCTGGGATTAAAGGCATATGCCACCACTGCCCGGCGATTCTCCCACTTTAATCTCCCAAGTAGCTGGAATAATAATCAAAACACTGTCCCTAGTCTAGAATAAAAATACACACACTTTATTATTATTATTATTATTATTAATTCATATAATGCATCCCAACTGCTGCAGCCTCCCCTTCCTCCATTCCTCCTAGTCACTCCCCCACCTCCCCTCTCCCTCAGATCCGTTGCTCCTCCATCTTCAGAAAAGAGGAGGCCTCCCAGGGATATCAACTGAGCCTGGCAAAGCAAGATGCAATAATACTAGGCACAAACCCTCATATCAGGCTGATGAGGTAACTCAGTAGCAGGAAAAGAGCCCCAAGAGCAGGCCAAAGAGTCAGAGACATTACCACTCCCACTGGCAGGAGTCCCACAAGAAAACACAAGCTAAACAACCAGAATGTATATGCAGAGGACCTAGCACAGACTTCGTGGTAGCCGCTTCAGTCTCTGTGAGCCCCTATGAGCCCTGCTTAGTTGATTTTGTGGGTTGTGTTCTCTTGGTGTCTTCAACCTTTCTGGCTACTATAATCCTTCCTTCCCCTCTTCTCCAGGATTCCTGACCTTTTACCTAGTGTTTGGCTATGGGTCTCTGCATCTGCTCCCATCAGCTTCTGGAGAAAGCCTCTCTGGTGACAATTGGGCTGGGCACTAATCTATGAGCATAGCAGAGTATCATTAGGAATCACTTCGTTGGTTTGTTTTGCCCTAGGTCTCTGAGTCATCCAGCTTTTGGTTCCTGGCTTTCCAGGTGGTGTTGGGCATGGGGCTCCCTCTTGTGGCATGGGCCTCAAGTTAGACGAGTCATTGGATGGCCACTGCCACAAGTTCTGAGCCACCATTGCACCTGCTCATCTTGCTGGCAGGATAGGTTGTAGGTTGAAAGCTTTGTGTCTGGGTTGATGTGGTGATCCCAATGCTGCAAGTCCTGCCTGATTACAGAAGGTGGCTTCTCCAGGCTTCATTTCCTCCATTGCTAGGAGTCCTCGCTAGGGTGACCCTCAGGTTCCAGGGAGTTTCCACTGTACTAGGTTCCCACATCACCCCCTAAGCCCCCCAATTCTAGTCATCTCTCCCTTACTCTCTCCCTCCGTCTCTCCCTCCCTTGCCTGATCCCTCTTCTTCCCACCTATCCCAAGTCCACCCACATAATCTCTTTCCCCTTCCCAGAGGGATCCCTGCGTCCCCCTCCCCCAGAGCCCTCCTGGTTACTTAGCCTCTCTGGGTCTGTGGATGGTAGTGTGATTATTCTTTACTCAACAGACAATATCCACTTATAAGTGGGTACATACCATATTTATCTTCCTGGGTCTGAGTTGCCTCACTCAGCATGCTTTTTTCTAGTTCTATCCATTTTCTGATATCTTCTTCAATTTCTTTCTTCAAAGGCTTGAAGTTTTTGTCATACAAGTCTTGGTTAGAGTTACCCAAAGATACTTTGTATTATTTGTGCTGTTATGAGGTGTTGTTTCCTTGATTTCTCTCTTGGTCCCTTTGTCATTTACATATAGGAGGAATACTTTTTTTTTTAGTTAATCTTGTATCCAACCACTTGACTCAAGGTGTTTATCAGCTGTAGGGATTCCCTGGGAGAATTTTGGGGGTTGATTATGTATACTATCGTTCATCTGCAAATTACAATACTTTAGAAAGAAAGAATTTTCCCAATTTGTAATCCTTTGATCTCCTTTAGTTGTCTTATTGCTCTAGCTAGAGCTTTAAGTACTATACTGAACAGATATGGAGAGAGTGGACAGTCTTGTCTTGTTCCTGGTTTTAGAGGAATTGTGATTTTCTCTCCATTTAATTTGATGTTGGCTAAATGCTTGCTGTATATTCCTTTAGTCTGCTCCGGTATGCCACTTAATATCCCTAATCCCTCCAAGACTTTTACCATAAAGGGGTGCTGGATTTTATCAAAGGCTTTTTCAGCATCTAATGAGTTGATCATGTGTTTTTTTTTTCTTTCAGTTAGTTTTTATGGTGGGTTATATTGACGGATTTTCATAGTTTGAACCATCCCTGCATCTCCAGGATGAAGCCTACTTGATCATGGTGGATGATAGTTTTGATGTATTCTTAGATTCGGTTTGCAGTATTTTTGTTGAGTAATTTTGTATTTATGTTCATAAGTGACATTGTTCTATAATTCTCTTTCTTTTTGAATCTTTGTGTGATTCGAGTATCAGGGTGACTGTGGCCCATTAAAATAAATTTGGCAAAGTTCCTTCTTTTTCTGTTTTGGAAATTAATTTGAGGAGTATTAGTAAGAATTCTTTAAAAGTTCAGTTGAATTTTGCACTGAAACTGTCTAGCTCTGGCCTTTTTTGGCTGGGAGACTTTAAATGACTTCTACTATTTATTTTTCTTAGGTGTTATAGGTCTGTTTAAGTTGTTTATGAGATCTTGATTTAACTTAGGTAAGTGGTACCTATCGATAAAACTATCCATTTCTTTTAGATTTTCCAATTCTGTGGCGTACAGGTTTTTAAAATTTGACCTGATGATTCCTTGGATTTCCCCAGTGTCCCCCTTTTTGTTTCTGATTTTGTTAATTTGGATATTCTCTCTCCGTCTTCTAGTTAGTTTGGACGAGGGTTTGTCTTATTGATTTTCTCAAAGAATCAACTCTTCATTTCTTTGATTCTTTATATTGTTCTCTTCGTTTCTATTTTATTGATTTCAGCCCTCAGGTTACTTCCTGCCATCTGGATATCTCTCTCTCTCTCTCTCTCTCTCTCTCTCTCTCTCTCTCTCAGATGTGCTTGCTTCTTTTTGATCTAGAGCTTTCAGGTGTGTGTTAGGTTGCTAGTGTGAGACCTCTTCATTTTTATTTATGTAGACATCACTGCTATCAACGTTCTTTCCTCTCAGCACGCTTTTCTTGTGTCCCATAAGTCTGAGTATGTTGTACATTCGTTTTCATTGAATTCCAGGAAAGTCTTTAATTTCTTCACTTCTGTCTTGACCTGGTAGTCACTCAGCAGCACACACTCTTCCCTCCTGTCTCTCGGGACTCTGCCAGCAGAAGCTCCATCCCCAGGTTAGGACCCCTTTGATCTTGCTCCTTCAGAACCATGTTGGAGACTATTGTTTTAAGATGTGTTGCTTTTGTTTATGTTGCATTTGTTTAACTCTGTGAAGCTGTGATTCTTTGCCTGTCTAAAACACCTGATGGTCTAATAAAGAACTGAATGGTCAGTTGTGAGGCAGAAGCAAGGATAGGTGGGGCTGTCAGGCAGAGAGAATAAATAGAA